ACTTAAGGGTTATGAAGGGGGTTTTGTTGGGTGTGTTTTAACATGGTCTTGAGGGGTGAATGAGGTAGGGTTTTGGGGAAGATGGGTTTGGCCAAGATGAAAAGGAGAAGGGGGAGAATGGTTAAGGTTTGGTGTTGTTTCTGGATTGTAGGGATTGAGGAGGATCATGGGTTTAAGGGCCTTTAAAATGGATCATATAGCTTAAACATAGGTCCTCGGCTTCCCCTGGGAGTGTAGGGTATAGGGCGAACCATGATGAGGCTGAGCCCAGATATATCAATACCCCAGCTAGTTGGAGGGGGTTTTGACCATAGCACTCCTTTGAAGGAGGGATTCCAACCTCTAAGGATCAGACCCTACATGTATCCCCTCAAACAAAAAGATATCGTTGAAAAATTAGTAGGAGAAAAGTTGGACAATTGCATTATTCAGCTGAGTAATAGTCTTTTTGCTTCTCCTGTTGTTTTAGTTGGGAAGAAAGGTCTTGGAGGTTGTGTGTGGATTATAGGGAATTGAGCAAGACAACCATAAAAGATGAAATTCACAAATCTATTGTGGAGGAGCTGATTCATGATCTTTCTGGGGCAAAATCTTCATCAAATTGGACCTAAGGGCCAATTGTCATCAAATCAGAGTAAATGACTAGGATGTCTCTAAAACAGCCTTCAAGACATACCAAGGTTACTATGAATTCCTAGTTATGCCTATTGGCCTAACTAATGCCTCTGCCACTTTCCAGAGCCGAATGAACTACATTTTTCAACCCATTCCAAGGAAATTTGTGCTCATATTTTTTGATGACATCCTTGTTTATAGCAAAACCTTCCAAGACCACCTATGTCATTTGAAGGAGGTATTTGCTATACTGTAGAAGCACTCAATATATGTTAAGCAGAGGAAGTGTATATTTGCTCAATTGCTCTAGCTAAAGTGGAGTACTTGGGGAATTTTCTATTTGGAAAAGTAGTGGAGACTGATCCAACGAAGATCCAAGCAGTTGCACAGTGGCCAACACATAAGAAGATTCTTCAACTATTATGCATCTATTTGCAGGCCATTGCCTTCTTTATTTAAGAAGAGAGCTTTCCTATGGTCCCCCGGAACTAGTGCAGCCTTTGCAGATCTCAAACACACGCTCACCTGCACCACTCTTGGCTTTTCCTGATTTTTCTCAGCCTTTTGTGGTGGAAACAGATGCTTCACAATATGGCATTGGAGCAGTGCTGATGCAGAGTAACCATCCTATAGCATTCATTCGTAGATCATTGGGTCCCAAATGGAAAGACTTGTCCGTATATGAACAAGAGCTGCTATCAGTGGTACATTTAGTGCAGAAATGGGAGCAGTACCTGATGGCCAAGCCCTTCATACAAACATATTGGAAAAGTCTAATATGGTTACTATAGCAAAATATCTCTACTCCATTTCAACAATTCTGGCTCTCTAAGCTTATGAGATTTACTTATGAAGTTCAGTACACGATAGGGCAAGAGAATAAAGCAGCAGATGCACTCTCAGGATAACTGGTGCTCAGCTCATGCAAATAGCTCTGTCTATTATTGAATTTGATCTTTCTGACCAGATTGCAGCATCTTGTCACCCATTTAGAATCGATTCTCCAGCAACTACAAAACGGATTGGGTTTACCCAACTACTCATGGACACAACAGTTGAGGAGGAAAGGAAAGCTGGTAGTAGGTCCAAATTCAGACCTTAAATATTGCAACGCGCTCATGCCGTCATGCTTCTCCCATTGGAGGTCATTCTAGAAGGGATGCTACTCTAAGAAGGGTTAAAACCTTATTATATTGGAAGAGACTAAATAAAGTAGTAACTCACTTCATCACGACCTGCACAATCTGCCAAGCTTGCAAACTTGAGACAACCCCCTCTCCAGGTCTCCTACACCCTTTAATAATTCCTAATGAGGTATGGGTGGATGTGTTAATGGATTTCATTGAAGGGTTACATACTTCTCAAGGAATGAAGGTGATTTCTGTGGTGGTGGATAGATTGCATAAATATGCACACTTCATGAGCTTATCTCATCCATACACTGCCTTGGAAGTGGCTCAATCCTACCTTGACAATGTGTACAAATTACATGGATTCTGTGTTTTTAAGCACTTTTTGGAATGTTTTGTTTTCAGTGAGTAGACCTATTGCTATCCTCTTCCTATCACCCTCAAACTGATGGGCAAACACAGATAGTGAATAGATGTTTAGAGACTTTCTTGAGGTGCATGGTTTGTTAGACTCCGAAGGACTTGGCAAAGTGGTTACGTTTGGCTGAATGCTGTACAGTCAGCCACCCTTTATTCACCTTATTTGCCAGGGAAATCCAAGGCCGAAGTCATGGTCAGGTCACAACAAAAGAGGGAAGAAATGATCCATTTGCTTAAATTCAACCTCGCAAAGGCCCAAAACAATATGAAGCAACTAGCTGACTTGCATAGAGCTAAAAAGAGTTTTCAGGTTGGAGAGTTGGTGTGGCTCAAATTCCAGCCCTAGAGACAGGCAACTATACTGAAAGAAGCAATGAACAGATAAATGCCATGTATTCAGGACCTTTCCGGATTCAAGCTGTAATTAGAAAGGTGGCTTATTAACTACAGTTGCCAGCCTCTGCCAAAATACATGATGTCTTTCACGTTTCCCTTTTGGAAGCTTTCAAGGGAAGCTGGCCAGTGCTACCACGTATTCTACCATGGATGCAGGGTATTCATACTGATTCTATGCCTACATCAGAGACTGTGCTTTCTAGATGAACAGAAAAAAGGAACCACTCAGCTAGGATTTGATTCCTAATCAAATTGACTGGTCAACCCCACAAGATGGCACATGGGAATGTGCTGAAGAAATACAAAACAGATTCCAAGAATGTCAACCATGAGGACAAGGTTGTTTTATAGGGGGGATAGTGTCATACAGCATATACGCCTTTGAGTGTAACTAGTCAGTTCGGAGTTGAGTTATAACTAGTCTTGGAGTTAATTTCAACTGATTCGAGTATGTTAGAAATCAGTTAGATATTAGCTCAACTATATAGTCTTGGCTGAGGATTGTACATGGTGTTCAAGTTATAAGATTCATTTCTTCTCCCAATTCTATTCTCTCTCGTTCTTCTTCTTCTTCTTCTTCTTCTTCTTCTTCTTGATCACCCTTATTGGACAAGCAATTCGAAGCTCTCATCTCTGCAATCGAGTAGCTTCAGGCTTCCTACAACTTGTATCACACTCACAATCTTTTCTTCATCTCTAGGCTTGTCTCTGTACTTGGAACCCGGTCGTGGGAATAAACTTTCTTCTCAACTGAAGCACTATATCCAAGGCCTCCTCAAGGTATCTGAAGTTGAGTGAATGAGGATATGAGCTACTCTTGTGTCTTGTCATGTATTTCACTTGTGATTTATAAAAAGCATCTGTTACAGGTGAATATGAAGGGGCCATATGGATCTGAGTGGCCAGATGAAGAGAAGGTCAAGCGCAGGGAAATGGTTGCACCAGATGCACACTACATATTTTTATACGAGATCCCAAATTCTGATACCAGTCAAATGTCTGCACTTGGTGGCCAGGATTGGGATAGAGTTAAAAGGATGGATGATAAGTTCCCAATAGTTGGATTTGTACATTACCGCTTCATTGTAGAAGAAGATACACCAGTTCTTTATGTTTATGAGTTGCAGCTTGAGAAATGTGTTCAGAGAAAGGGCCTAGGGCAATACTTGATGCACCTAATTGAGCTTATTGCCAACAAGGTCTTTAATCCTAGTTTGTGGAAATCTTTTCTTTATTATGTAACTAATAAGTTTAAAATGAAATCTTATTATGGAATATGAAGTGTGTTTCTTTTTGTTTTACAATAGGTGACTGCTATCTCGATCACTTTTATTTATGGTTTATATATCCCTTTTTGGATTGGGCTGTAATTCTGTATGTTTCCAAAAAGATTCCTGTCAAATGCCTAACTAAAGTTTTCTGTTTTGCAGAGTAAAATGGGTGCGGTGGTTCTGACAGTTCAAAGGGCAAATGCTAAGGCTATGAACCTCTATACTACTAAACTTGGGTAATTTTTTGTTTTACTATTAAAACTTCCAGTATACTCCAGAATAAGATTAAGAATGTCATTTTTCCTGAATAGTTACCCAGCATTATAAGGATAAATAGTTGAGTTAATAGCATGGTTTGTCTCCACTGTAGTGGTAATATTATTTTGGTCCCCAAAGTAGAAATATTGTTTTGGTCTTATTGTTAGTTTAACCATTAGAGGCAACCGGTCATTCTTTAATGTGTTAATTGACCTTTCTAGGATACATGCTCGTCGAAGCAAGGTTGTGTGGGAAGGCCGAGAAATATCTTAGTTATATTTCCTACTAAAATTTTAGTCATGGAAGAATTCTATTAGATGCAAGGGCGTGTTTGTAGTCATAGTGAATCCTAATGGATCCATTGCTCGCTTGAAGGGTCAATTGGTTGCAAAGAGCTATGTTCAGGCTTGTGTTATTGATTATTCTAATTTCATTTCTCTTGTGGCTACATAAACATTGCCAAGTTATTTATTTCATTGGCTGCTAAACATGCTTGGCCTTTATATCAACTTGACAACAATGATGCTTTTATTGCATTGGAATCTTGAAAAGGAAGTCTATATAAAGCAACCTTTGGGGTTTGTTCCTTGGTGATTTGGTGGGAGTATGGGAAGACTAGATTTTTGTCAATTCGGATTTCGGAAGGAGCTAACAACTTCCCGGGTGCATTTGATGCCCTTGGAATGATTTTGAAACTGATGAGATATTTGAAGCCGAGCTCGGATCCATCGCAACCCCAAAGACCATGTAAGCATGCCCTCAACCCCGAATTTCCTCTTAGTTGCCTCGATGTGGTAGTCTAAATCATCTGGAACTACCCTAGTTCAATTGATCATATGCAATGTTCGAAAAGGCGGAACGCAAACCCGCCTCAAGGCGCGCCTCGAAGCTTTTTTCGGAAATTACGCACTGGCGCTAATCCCGATTTCACGCGATAGGCTTTTTTACGCAATTCTTAGAAAGGTGTACGCCATGGGGCGTACGCGCCGGTGCGCGCCTTGAGGCTTACGCAATTCAATGATTAGAATTTAGAAAATTAAACAATTAAAATTTTGGATATTAAAGGTTAAAGTTGTCAATTACTCCAATTAATTAACCCAATTAAGTGTATATATGTTAAAATTACCTTTGTCTAGTGTCGATTACCCTAATTGCCTTTGTCGATTACCTTTCTGCGACCCACGAACCGTCTCCAGCAGTCCAGCGTCTTCAATCTGAGGTAAGTGTGGTCAATTTACATCTCTGTACCCCGGACGTGGCTTCTAATGTGTGCCCCTTGCAACCTTTTTCTTTGTGATATTCGCGTAGAACTTGCGAATAAGCTACAGATAGTACACTCTGGTGAGGGTAAGCACGGCAGCCCAACCTAGCATGGTGAAGGCATTGGAGAGCTTAAACTGGTTGTCAATTGCTGGATCGATTGGCTTCTCAATGATTAATGCAGTTTCTTTACAAGTCTCCCACCAACCCTATTTTTCTCACTCTTAAGAGGTGAACCGGGGTGGTCGGCTAGATGATGAGCCATCATCGTTAGGCCACTTCTTTCCTGTTTTGGCGTGTTTGCCTTGTTTGATGGGTTTGGGCGCCATGGTACCTGCAAAACTGAAGAAATAAATAAAAAAGAGAGACCAATACCATTTTTATACCTAATTTTACAAAACTTTTGCAGAACTCCCTGTTTGATGAAATCCAAAAATTTGGCAACTATGGTAAACACAGCCATCAAGAAGCATACCCAAGCATTAAAATGTAGCAATAATGTGAAAAGAGTAGAAAATTTCGAATTAGGTGGGGGGGGGCTAAGGTTTGGGGGTTTTGCAAATTCAACTCAAAATGCGCATAAATGCTCATAATCTTAGCAATCAACATCATAATGTATCACAAAGCCTAAAAAGTACAAGAAATTGACAATGAAACAACTAAAATGCACACCTTTGTGAAAAGAAACCATTGGCCAAGCTTGTAAGAAAGGGGAAAAAGAAAGAAGAATGGACAAGAGACTTATGTCGAGGTGGTGGTGGCCTCCGACGCTTAGTTTAACATCATAGGCCGGACGATACTTCCTTTTTATGGTGGTTGGGGGCATGCTTATTTGTTGCTCATTTGGCCGTCACCCCAAACTTTTTCTTTCTTGTACTTCTTGTTGGTGCATCCTTTATCTACTTCTTTTCCGTGTCTTCCTTCTGGTTTCTAGACATGAAATTTCTCAACCTTGTCTTCAACTTTGATTGTCCAAGAATGATTGGAATTTCCATCTCCTCCATGTCAAGAACAAGAAAATCTACCTGAAAATGAAAATTTCTGAGTTTCACTAGCACATCTTCTAGAATACCTAGAGGGTAGCGGATAGACATATCCGCTAATTGAAGTGACACCGTAGTGAGTCACCAAGATCACATAAGCTTTTAATAGTTTCCATTTTTCCCAGTGATACCGGGATAATGAAATTGCCCAGGTCACTTCGCTTTGGAGGTAGTTTATTCTGAATTATTGCACTACACTCTCTCTTTAGTGCAACCATAGCAATATTTTCCATTTTTTTGTTAGAGAGAATACCTTTTAGAAATTTGGCGTAAGGATGGAATATCCGAGATAGCTTCTGCAAACAGTATGTTCATGCTCAACCGTTTGAACATGCCCATGAACTTTTTGTGCTTCTCCTCTTCATTTGTCTTCTTCAATGCTTGAAGATATGGGATGGGTGGCACATATGCTTCGAAATGAGGTATGATATTGGTATTACCTGATATGGTGTTGAAGGAATACTACTATAAGAGAAATGCATTTTCCAAATCTTTGAAATAGTCAATATCGCAAAATCTAATTATTTATTGGTGATTAACCTTAGCTAAATGTGATTAAATAATTGGATACCTTAAACATTAATGAAAGGGCAGTGAATAGATTGGCAATTCCTTCAACTCTTCAAGGATCAAACCTAGCTCAGAATCAATTAAACCAATACTGACTATTCAACATCAAATACGGAGTAGGTTGTTAGAATCATAGGAAAATCAATCGACCAAACTGAGTAAAAAATAAAGGGGTCTAGATGAAAAGATATGTGATAGTCCCCAACCATGCTAGTAATCCTTAGGAGTATGTTTATATTTCTCTTCCCTTGCAGCCATATGCCCCTTGTGAAGTGATTAGCTTCATCGTATATGTCACTATTGCATCTTAGGTATTGATACAGTGATAAATAGGTTAAGCAAAGAATCACATACAATTTTTGAAGTTATTAATGCAAAGCATCAGAGGTATATTTTGATAGGAGGCTAGCAAGTGCTGTTAGTAAGACATGACCGCTGAATAGTGGAAGCAATATACGAAAAAGTACTACTTGAAGAAGATAGTAACACGAATGCATTACCTATGCCGATACGACTGAATCAGAGATAAATAGGCTCACACCATTATATAGGTTGAAAAGTCATCTGAAGAAGTTAAAGTAGATTTACATGATATGGGCATATTCAAGCAATTGAAATGAGTGAAGAAACATGTAGATCAGAGTTTCTTGATCATCTCCACAATCCATTCTTGAAAAGAAGGCTTAGTTTTTGTTTGAATTCAGTTCACTTGGGGCATTTTGAAGGCTGAACAGTGGTACACTGGAAGTATCTAAATACGATTAATAAATTCTCTAATGGTATGTTCGGAAACTTGGATTTAAATTTCAAATTCGGATTCGGCTCAAATTCCATGTTTGGGAAACTTAAAATATTTAGATTTGGATTTGAGTCAAATTCTTCTAATTCATAACAAAGCTCAATTTGGAACCCATATACCTGCACTTGTCATTTGCAATTCAAGAATTCAAAATTTGGAATTGAAATACATGAATTGAAATGAAATGCTAGTTCCCAAACATTACCTAAAGGAAAATAGAGTATTACTTGCAATAAGATACATTCTTTGCAATGTGAAGGTAAACATGCAGTGGCTTTTGTAGTTTTTTTCTTTTAAAGCATTTTAAATCTTAAATTCCATTTTTCTAGTGACATTTCTTGTTTTTGTTGTCTACTTGTCATGCAAAATATTGTTCTTCTAACTACTATACATATAAACATTTCTCTTGTATTACATGTTTTTTTAATTCTATGCAGGTACACAGTGTCTTCTATTTCACCATCCAGAGTATGTCTCGGCATATGGTGTTTGTACTTGTTTAGTGCCTCACTGGGTCTATTTTTACTTTCAGGACGTTCAGACACTATATATTTATATGCAGAATTTATAACCATATTGGCAATTGATGTTGCAGGTAGGACTACAAACAAATTATGAGATTCTATGTAAAACTTTTTGTCATGAAGCTAGAGAAAAGCTGGAGGTACTTCCTATTTTGACTTTCGAGCGCCCCTAAATAAAGCTTACACCTAATCCATTTCCTCTTGAAGAAAAGAATACGTGGCTCATAATATTTCTTCTTCCTCTAATCAAATTTTAACCACACACGTTTCACTTTTTAACACATTTCTTAAACTTCATGAGGTCAATTAGCCAACTTTGTTAAGGGACGGAGCAGTTTTTTAGAAGTTCAGGCATGTACCTACTATTCCACTCTCTTTTTTTTAACTTAAATAATAAACACTCATTTTGAGTTATGATAATTTATTATGTTGCATGTGTGGTTGCATCTCTTGTACGTAAAAAGAAACAATCCACAAGGCACCCTTCAATCTTCATTGGAAAATAATCACACTGTTTCGATTAGGTAAATGTCTAAAGAAAATGTCAAAAGTATCAAAATATTCTATTGTTGATATTGCTTTAGTTTTTAGTTTTATTCTGCGGTTTTGGCCTGCAATAATCAGCAGTTTGGGGCATTGGTTGTCAAAAAATTGCACTTAAGAAATAATAAATGATTATCTATACATAAGCCTTTGAAAAATATTAATAATCCAGCCACATTAAATCTCAGCAGAGACTGTGGTGAAATAATATTGTTCAAGTAGACTTAAGTACAAATTATCGTTATTATTTCTCGAGTGTATATTATTGGCATCGAGTGCCCTTAAGTTCATTTTATTTCCGGCGGAAAATCCTTATCATTGACAATTTGAATCTCTGCTTCCATTGCCAACAGAACTAAAAGAGTCGTGTTTGACAATGCTCTAGTTTTGGGTAAATATTAGACTTAATCAAATTGACACATTAAACTTCTCTTGCTTCTTACTTTCTATGAAGTTTTGTGCTGTAACCTCCCATTTGGCTGTGTAAATCTTGAATCTCCATACCCAACGAAGTTAGGAATATACTGGGTTTGTTGTTGTTCTTGACAATTTAAATCTTTCTTGATAAAGGGAAGCTGGAGAGCGGAGGAAAACGCTTACAGGACAAATTAGTGCAATTTTGTTCTTTCTTGAGCCTGGGTACTGATCCCTGTGCTTGTATGAGGTGAAATGTGAAGGTTAAATATACTCGCAGGTCTGAGGTCTCTAATAAATGTATTCTTTGTACCTGCAAAGCTTTCCCCTCCTCTCCCCTCCAAACCATCCACCCATATAGAGTTTAGGATCTTGTAAGCTTTACTTAGTGTGTAAATTTTTTTGAATTGGTCTGTGGTCCTAAAAATCTAGATTTTCCATCTATCATAACTTTTTTCTCCAGTTCATTGACAAAACAAATTAATCGACCACCCACCTACTAAAACCATCTTCTTTAGATTTCAGTTCATTTACTTGATCATCTTTCAAACGCTTTTGATGTCTTATCAAGCTCGAGTTATGCATTAAGTACAGTTTTGCTCATCGTGTTGATATGAGTTTTCTGGTATCGGGTTGTACTTTCAATTTGCTATATCCTTTGGCAGGTGGATCCCGCAACTCACGTCCCCAAAGCAAATCAACATCTTCTATGAGAACTTGATATTAGTGGTTTGGAAGACTTCTATTCGGGCATACAAAACAAGCCTTTGATTTATTTATAATAAAATCTAAAAGTAAGTTTAACTATAATGAGATAGTAATCATAGTACAATATAAATGCTGTTTGTGGTTGTGAAGATTTTCCCGCCCACTGACCTGAAAAGCACAATGTTTAAGGTCTTCAAGTTGTACAAATGGAGTAATTAAAAACAAAGTTGATTTTCTGTTTTTTAGAAGTTTTTTTTAGAGTATAAAAACCTTTCTTGGGCCTACAACTACAAGCTTGAGCTTCTGGTTGAGTATGTTCCTTGACAGCTTGATTGGGGAAAAATATTTTAATGAAATTTGGAATTCCTTGTGTCGTGGGTGGGGGTTTGTGAATTAAATATTTTGCTCAATTCTTTGTAATTATCTTGAAATAAGTTTCTTGAGGAAAGTTTTTTGTTTTGTATTATGCATAAAACATGAGTATTATACAATTTTGAAAATGTCTAGACAAAAATCCAGGCCCGGTTTAAAAATGATGTTCAGATCAAGGAACTTGTTGAATTTTTTTTTCATAAATGAAAAGCAGGTCTGCAAGGTACCTACTTTTCATTCATAACTTGTGACAAAGCGATTACCTACACTGTATCACTGACATTCAGTTCTTGATTATTGTGATTGTGCGGTATCTCGTATACTGCACAAAAAGTGATTACCTATACTGTATCTTGTATATTGTTTTGAATATATTATCACTATCTGACTTGTGAGATCCAACTGGGTTGTTGTTGTTATATTATCACTCTGTGATGTATATGCTTTGAGTTTCTTTTCCTTATTATGACCAAGCAACCCCTCCTCTCATAATCAGTTCTTACAGGTTCACGATTAAGGCCGATGACCTTGACTCTTCACCAGTATATTTGGATGATCCAGAAGCCCATCTTGGTTTGTGAAACTTCATGGGTTATCTGGTTTGTTGCTCTAATTCTGTAGATTGCTCAAAACTGTGTTAAACAAGTATGAGCTAGTAGTTATCTGTTAATTAGATCAGTGCAGTTTCTCATGATTATGTTATCAGATTGATTTTGTTGAACTAGCTTGCTTGTAGGTCTCTTGCAAATTGGTTGCTGGTGATTTTCTTTAGTTTAATGCACTTTTATAAAGTTAAATCTCATGGATGGTATAAGAATTGCTAGTGTTGTTTTCTGACTTTTGAGAGTAAACGTCTGTGATTTTGTTAGTACTATTGAATCCATTACAATAGAGTATCTGTCCGCACATACTTTCTCAACTTATTGTTCGAATCTATGACCTATTTCGGAGACTCACTGTTTGTGGTTTTATTTGAGTGTGTACTTTTTGGAAGTTTTCGTGGGAGTCACATTTTTTTCTCTTCTATTTCCTTTTCCAAATTCATTCACTCTATGTTTGGTTCAAGGAATTTGGAAGGAAAAGAAAAGAAAATGATTTTATCTCATTTTTATCACCAAAATGGAAGGAATTTAGTTTTTCTACTAGAATGCCATTGATGGACACAACAGATGTGGCCTCACTCACCCATTTAAACTAGAATCTGTACCACAGTTCATGAAAAGAGTTATGAATTTTTGAAATAAGAAAATAAGGAAGTATAAGAGGAGACACACACAATGACACAAAGCACATAAAAGGAAGCATTATACTTGTTTTGAAACAAGACCAGAATGTGGAGAGACAAACCATTCTAACATGAGGCAAAATATTAAACATCTCTATATGCATAAAGCATAATAAACGAAAATAATAAGTCATCCCTTGTCCAGACATAGAGCAGGGTGCACAATCACGGAGCTAAAGAGCAGCAGAGGCTAAATAACAGAACATTTACATTGATTCATCATGAGAAATTTCTTCACCAAAATTTATGCGTAGCCACGAGTTTTTGTGCACCATTGGACACTTGTGGAAAGCACAAGCACCACTCACGTTACCTGTAAGTTTTTGATATATAGTCATTTGAGAAAACTCTGACATTCCTCCAACTGAAGCAATCTCATCGAACAAATCTGCTTCAGTATAATTGCGTTGGTTACCAAGTTTAATTGCAGTAGAACCTTAGCATATGCTAGGTGATATTTCTTGGCTTGCTACATCTACCATTCTTGTCTTCTTCTTCTTTGGTTCTTCGATCTTTGATGTAGAAGATTCTTCATTATTATTTTGTTTACCAACTTCATCATTCAATGCATCTTCCTCATTTTCCTCCATATAATTTTGTTCTTTTGCCCATTGCATCTGTCGTTGTTTGGCACTCCTGTAGCACGGTCTTTTCCAAATTACTCACCCAAGATTTCATAGCATGGAATTGGATTATATTTCAAAAATGTAGCTATTGGCTTTGTCTATCAAGAAAATAAGTGTTTATTAACAAAAGAGGGCAAAGTAATAAATGTGTAAAAAAGTGCTGAAAAGAGCCACTGATTAGTTATTGAACTAATGTTAAAAAGTTCAAGCCAAAATGAGACAAGCTAGGGATTTTAGCCCATGTTAAAATACAAGATTTTTAATGCATGGAGTATACCAATTTAAGTTTGTGGAGGAATTAGTTTGCACACAGTAGGATGATATTCCCAAACTTTTTGGATCTTTCTTTTTTGAGGGATAACTTTTTGGGTTTATACTTTATATAGTCCGTATCAAAACAAATTCCAATGTTTTTCAAAAAAAATTGTGTTATTCATACCCTTCTTCTTTACTTCCCTTCCTCAGCTTCAAGCATTTTGGTTGAAAAATTAAACTAAATCCGTTGCCATTTTGAATAATATCTTTAACCATGCTAAGGTGTTTCTACAATGTCTTAAGACGATTCCTTATATGAGTAAGACCACATAGGATATTAAACATAGACGACACACATTTTTTATACAACATTGTAAGTTGTACTTGAGAAAACTCCACCCACCTTCATTTTCGAGATTAGGGTTGCGATCGCTTGAGAACTGAGAGGCGCGATTGTTTATAGAGAGAAAACATGGCAGGGTTCAGCGACAACGATGATAAGACTATCAGGGTTTAGAGACGAGTGAGCGATCGATTCTCTCATTTTCCATCTGAATGTGGGAGGAAAATGCCTTTCCACTTTATAAATTCATTTTCTATCCACTTTTCTTTTCCTCTTATTTTTATTTTCTTTTTCTCACTAACCAAACAAAAAAAGGTTTCTCTCATATATTCTTTTCTTTACCCAGCCAAAATCCTTGAACCAAACATATTGTAAGAGAGCTCTTGGTTTTCCGGCCAATTTTTTTGATAACTCCCTCCAAATTTTCCGGTCAGCATCAATCCAACAATGTTCTCGTTCGTATGTGTGAGGTTGGTCTATCAAAGGAAAGTGCCCATATTTTCCCTACACGAAAGTTGTTTTATCATAGGAGGAAAGTGCACATATTTTCCAGTACTATAGACGGGTACTATTACCTTAAGGCTTGTTCCAACGACTCTGCTTCCCTTCTAATGTTTTCAATTTTGGAGATTTTGTTTCATAAGGTATGTCCTCGTTCGCAACTTCAATCCAGTGCATAATGTTCTTTTTGTCAAGCAAGGATTTTGAAGTTTGAAAGCGAGTTTTATTTTGTTATACTTATTGTAATTAGTTCGAATAAATTATAAATTCAGATTTATTTCATATTTTAATTGCAGGTTCGTTCAAATTCCCCGTCCATTCAATCTGTACAATCTTTTATAACACGCGCAAGCTAATCATCGAAAACGAGGGACACCTTGGAGCCCAAGTACTATAATGGATTGGGTAAAGAGATAAATCTTCATTCGATGAAGAACAATCTTGAGTATGCGTTTGCGGAATTTTTTCGAGGGAAAGTGTTAGCGATCAGAATGAGGGCGAAGATTTTCTTTGTTTTTCTCCTTTTGCTCTTTTATACGGCGTATTTGTTTATGTATTTACCAAAGCAATTGGATAACAAATAATGTGGACGTGCCGGAGTGGTTATCGGGCATGACTAGAAATCATGTGGGCTCTGCCCGCGCAGGTTCGAATCCTGCCGTCCACGTTACTTTTTCCGCGTTTTTTTGCTCATGTTTTTTTTTTCAAACATGAATTTGCGTTTACTGTTTTTAACCCAAAGGTGATTCAAAAGTTGGGATTGAATGAGACACTTAGATTTTTTGCTCGGACAAATGAATTTTTTTAATACTTCACATCACAAATTAGTATAAATGACAATTGCAATCAAACCAATTCTTTTTGAACCCTAATACATAATATTATCACTTCAAAACAAAGTTTTATGACAATCATAGAAACACTCTATCTATACAAAACCACTCCCAGTTGCTCACTTAATGAGAAAAAAATTACTATTAATTTTACTATTGATGGAACATTTAATATCCTTTAATATAATATTTGAGAGTTTATAGCCTAGAATTTTGACATGTGGCAGTTTAGAATTCTATTTTAATTACACGTCAACTTACACGCATCCACTTCTACGACTAAGGCCCCGTTCCGTTTAACTTATTTTTTTCTTATTTTTTCTTATTCTTATTAAAATCAGATCAGATCAGATCAGACCAGATCAGATCCAATCAGATCAGATCAGGACTTATTAAAATCAGATCCCATCAAGAATTATTATTATTATTATCATCATCATCATCACCATTATTATTATTATTATTATTATTATTATTATTATTATTATTATTATTATTTTTGTTCCATACATGTTGAAGACCATCCATTCATTGTCAAAAATCACTCCAACCAGTGAGTGTTGGAGGATCATGGTCTGGAGAAGACTACAAATTCAATTGAGATGGTGTTTATGGACGAACATGTAAGTCAAAGTCTCATAATTCACCATATTCCTTCTCATTATTTATATTATGGCTATTATTAGATTGGATCTTGGATGATATTTTTTGCGTGTGGATCATATTGGTGATATAATGATATTGTGGCTAACTGGCTATGTATGGAGAATACATAGTGTGTTATTTTTATATGAAGATAAAGCATAGTGTGTGATTTTTGCATGATCTAATATTGGATCCAAAGCATAGTGGGAGGGGGGTGAAAAATATGTGGCGAAGGCATTTGGATAAGTACAAGCCAAGGGCTTTCAATTTGTTAGTTCTAGAAGACAAGTATGATATGCTCTACTCCCTCCGTCCCAAAAAGTCTTTCCTGTTTCATTTTTTGCACATCCTATAAAACACTTCTACCGACATCTAAAATGCCTAAAATTTACAACATTTCTTCTTTATTGTGGGTAGAAGTTATTTTGAAAGTTTTTTTGGCATTCAAGGCGGGATAGAAGTGTTTTATGGGATGCGCAAAATATGAAACAGGAAAGACTTTTTGGGACGGAGGGAGTATTTTTTATGTCTTAATGAAAAAGATGAGTTATCATGTTTTGTAATTTGCAGGCAAATGAATGAAAAAAAAACATTTTAGCATCTGACAATTTTAAAACTTTTTTTATGAAGATGAATAAACGGTGGAAGACATTCACGAACCAGTTTGTCACTCTATTGACTCCAAAAGAAGTGTTCAAATACATCAACACAGGTAGCTAAATTTTCATAAGTTTACATTACATGACTAGACTAAGGAACAATATTTCAAAGACTTCTTTCCTCAATTGGAAATGATTTTCCAAAGAATAAATATCACATTTGCATACAAAACATGTAAAATAGAAGAACGCTTAGCCATAGCCTACATGATTAATATATTTACTTTTTCCCTAAAATAATTTATATCCTTCCAAATTTGCCTCTATTTTCTTTCCCAACCATGTCAGAGTTGAAAATGGCAGCATCTCAGAATTCAACGTATGATCTAAAATGATAGAATTCTTTACTTAAATTATTGTATGTTGTTCCTTACTTAAATTATATATTATATATTAATTTTTGTGAGCGCATATCAATATCGATATTACTTCTTTTAATGTATGCCAAGAGTACTTGACAGGTTTTGTAAGTGTAGAGTATATATATTTACAATTGCTTATAGTCTTCTGGGGGTGTCTTGATGTTTAATGATCTGTTTGCATTTTAGAAGATGTGGGTCAAATGTGCAGGAATCGAGATGTCGCAGAAAAGAATGGTAATGGTTGAATTGTGAAATGTCTCATGCCAAAGTTGCAGGATTTGAGGTGAGGTGTTGGG